GACTAATTTGATTTTCTTGAACAGCTACAGCTGCTTTGCTTCGCTGAATTAACTCTGGAAGAATATGAGAAAACCGGAACACACTAGCCAAGAAGGGGTGTCTCATGGCTTAGGAACAAAACGGTCTTTCATTCGTACCATTTGGGAGGACAAACCGTAAAAAATCCTGAAATTCATCGGACCAGTTACCTCCCATCAGCCGTAAGGCATCATTTGAAGCAATTTTATATAATGCTGCCATCGGATCGGTAGCGCTGAAGTAAGGAGGTTCAAACTCAGCCATTTTAATACAAGTAATTCTTAAAGGAGCAATCTAAAATGGTGTTCCCACGAAACTATTGACCGGACTCACAAAACTAGCTGATCCGAAATCATCAATCTTTATGCCACTAGAGTCTGTAAGTAAAATATTAGCTGCTTTGATGTCTCGATGAATTCTTTTCTCAGAATGCAAAGAGTCAAGATCAGTTAGTACTTCCTGAACGATAAAGGCGATTTCATCTTCTCGAAGTGGTTTTTTGTGTACTTCTAAAACATCTGCAAGTGAGCCAATGAAGTATTCCATGATTAACCATGAAGTTTGCTCTTTCATGAAGCATCGTTTAGGCAATACACAGTTTTTGTGTGCAAGGTAAGAAAGAAATTTTATCTCTTTAACGATGTCACTCCACTCTTCTGACTTCTTACGTTTAGTGTCAACCTTTAGTTCTTTGATAACCACAACCTCACTTATTATACGATTCTGAGCATAGTAAACTGCTCCAAAGATGCCACAACCAATTTGGCGAAAGTCAGTAAATACAGTCGTTGAATTTTCATAACTGAAATATTTTGAAAACTCAGTGTCTTTAAAAACAGATGTTCTGAGAGACTTAGGTATCAAGTTCTCATTCGTTGAGAAAGTGGCAATATTCTTGCCTGATGTCAGCCAAACTTCAGACCTTTAGTGACCCACCTTGGTGATGGATGAAAGAAAAAACAAGCACAAACTTTATACTAATACAAGAACCATGATGATTATTAAGATCAAGTTGGTTTAAATGGATTGTTTGGCGGGCAAATGAACAGATATTCATGGACTATCGGCTATTACCGAAGGAGTTAATCATAATTGATTGGAAATCAAACAGTGAGCGAGTTGATCATTTCACCTTGGGCTAAGAAAACAGAACTAAGATGTTTTTGATAGACAGGTTAGTCGAGCCAACGTTCCTACGGAAGTCGATTCTAGGGGGAAGCTAACGTAACAGCTTAGGTTGATTGGTTAAGAGTTCACCTCAAACAACTAAGCATATGTCAAAACAGTATAGTTCAAGTATTCATTCACTGCTTTATTTCGTATAGTCGTCGTATTTCCTATTATCATATATTGAATGTTGAGAGGCTTTGTTTGTTTGAACAGATAAACCCACGCTCCACTGTGACTGCGCGAAGATCTAAATAAAGATCTATTCACTACTTGTCTGGTTTCTTCTACCAATAGCACGAGCTTTACCGAAAGGCACGAAAGGGACCACGCCTGCAAGGTCTAGACCGTGCATTATTTCGAGTTTTTGAAAAAAATAATGAACTTTATACTGTTTGTGACAAATATAAAACCATAGAATGAATCAAAGGAAGCACAGCTCGCTTCTGAATATAAAAATCACCCTTCAGAATTGTGGATAAAGATAAATGATCATCTTAGACACCCAATTTAGTAAAATTAGAACTACAGCGTTTGTCATCACTAGTAGCATAGTAAACAGTAATTCAACAGACCGATCTAATGTGTCCCATTTAACCACACTTAAGCATTTGGCATGACAAAAAACACATGAATTACGTTAGTAAACTACAGGGTAAAAATTTACCAAAAAGTTGATCACCTCTTCAGCCTGATTTGCAATCCCGTGTTCACATTTCATATTTCTACGGGTAGGAACCATTGTCAAAAAAATGCGAGCTTAAATGACCCTGAGAATTAAGTTCATCAAGACGCCTTATAGTTATAACATTCTATTTTAACACATAAAGATGAACCTTTGGGTTTCTAAATATATTCCCTTTCGAAGTTTTGAATATTAATCAACTGGTCACGCAGTTACACGTGCGGTTGATCACCAAAATTAATCTCGAAGGCTTGTTTCTGTAGTTAAAGGATCAATTTTCCATTTTCATTGTTGTTCTAACGAAGAAGTTTATGAAATTTTTACTTTCACGACACTCAAACCTAGTGCAGTTCACATGATTTCTTACTGATTGTTTGGGAGCTGTGCAGGGAGGTGAAATAGGTTTAAGAAATTAGAGGAATGGAGACCGAGAAGAAAGCATCGTCTTTTTACAAAAAACTAATAATATATATATCTGTTCTTTTATTTGTAAATTTCATGACAGTGGAACTAGTGAGTTCATAAGTTGGAAACTCGCTTTCAAAGTTTGCTCATTTTAATTTTGTGTCATCTGTACCTGAATCTTACTATTTGACTATTTCACTCAGACATACAATTAAAGCAATAGGTGAGTAATAGTGTAAGATTTCCATGCCCTTGATGTTAGATGAGTACAGATATCCACCGTAAGATCTGAAAATTCTTTTCACTCTGACGAACCAGGCTTTAGTAGAGCATGTGTCTGGATCCACACCTCTGAGTTCAAACGAAAGATCTTCGTTGGACCGAGTAGTTACTCAAGTAACCGAAGACATCGATTATCTAAATGTTCTCCCTCCGTTAGCTAACAATGAATATACCGTTTCTTCGTTCACATTTAAGACTTATAAAATTGTGTGGAGAGAGAAGAGAATAATTTTTTAGACAGGGTCCAAAGAAAAACCTTTCTAGTTTGGCTAATTTCATTGCATGAGAGGATTTGATAGTGAAGAAAAATAATAATTTTCCGGTGCGTGTAATTTTCATCGATAAAAGCAGAACATTTGAAAAGGCCCTTTACCTGGGCCTTAAGTTAAAACCGAAAAGTTTTAGATCACAATAGAAAATTACAAACTAGATAAATGACTTTCTCATTGAAAGGGGGAGAAGGGTATCGGTAAACGGAGCCTTACAGATATGAGAATCCGTTAAAAGTGAAGTCCTCAGAAGTAAAATCCTTGGTTCTCTTCCTTGATGTTTCGTGTAAATGAAATACCAACTACACGGACACGCTGAATATCACAGTTGGTGGTGATCGTACCATTTACATGAAGATGGTATTCTTGTCGACCAGCTTCCTTTCATTCATATACACTAACATTTCGTCAGAGCTGAAAAACTCTGCTCCGAGAACGGATTGTTTGATCTGAGCTGTTACGTCCACGTTTTTGCTTGTTCTCGTCATTGAATTACGGTATATTGATATATTCTCAACTTACGAACCCAAATTAACAATAGGACCAAACCCTAACTTAGGTACTAAAGTACATTTACAAATAGTCGACCCAAATGTCGTTCTTCAATTTTGTAGGTCCCCTGAGCAAGAAATTCCAAATACCAAACCAAAGACAAAGATAAACCCAAATATCTTAAAATAATGATATAAACAAACAAATTCAGAAGTTGAGTAAAACAAAGACATCCCAAAACACTGTGAAATTAAGAATATTTAATATAAAGGTTATAATCGGCCAAATTTCTCCAGCTCTCCCGTAACACTGGGCTCACTAGATAATTGCGATGGACCGAAATTTATGTTAATTCAAAAATGACACTAAAGTTGTTAGGTTCAAAATTAAACGTTATAATATATCAATTATAATTTATAACCACAAACAAAAGTTATGGAGCGTTGCTTTAATCGGGAAGCTTTGGCGTGTTCAAGCTGCATTTGGTACCATAATCCACAATTATAGGTAATTAGTAATTCCAATAAGGTTGTTGTGACTCCAGTGATATAGGCAGATGTAGTACATAATGGAAATTGAGCTGTAGTCTATAAATGTAGATAGTAGATATTTTAGAGTTCAGGTATCATGACGACAGACAATTGAGAACGAGAGATGCGTGTGTAGCAGTGTATTTACGAGCGGTTAGCAGAGTGCGTCATACCATGAGGAGTTCAAAACGGAAAAGGAAAAATTCAGGGTCATGAAACTTTAAACAACTTTTACGGACAGTTGTGGTTCATGTAAAAGCTATGAGAATTAACAAAATAAATGCAAAAAATGTCAAAATCAATTTACAAAATAAGTTTGTCGTGCCTATCTCCATAAAAGTACAGTGACGATGTATATAATTATACAATACATAAGACAGTACTGCCCAGAGCAATGGATTATAAAGGTTTGGGAGTCATAGTAACTAACGACCTAAGAACTACAAGTAATTGTAAATCTGTCGCTAACAAATGCCTTAGGATTCTATAGGCTATTTGTGAGTCATTACGTCGCTTGGACGCAGTGATGTCTAAGCTACTATGCACGACGTTTGTGAGGCCGGATTCGGAATACGGGTTTCAAGCGGCAACTCTGTGTTTCAGTCATGGAGCGGATGTGCTGGAACAACGGTGGATAACCTTACTGTCCTGTAAAGGCAGAATAAGAGGACTTAACCTGTTCCCGTCATTCTGCCGCAGGTACGGGGTGATTCGACATTAAAAACCGTATATTAAGCGAGGAATTGGCATTATTGTGTCTTGTCTTTTTCCTCCGTCTAGGACTAATCGTTTGAGGAGGCATTCTATCAGTATTCTGAAACAGAAAACAAATCGTCCATCTCTGGCGTTTCATTTCTAACATAGAATAGTGTTACGAGAGTTCTCTAACACGTAATATCAGCACCTTCTGTTGTTACGTCCAAAGCGAGATCGGTTCGATGATCACAGTAGTGCGTATTGCAGTGTTTAATATAAGTCGAGAGATCTGTCAAAACTGCTGAAGACTGAAGAAAATGTAACTCCTTTTAACTAAGAACTACTTGTAAACCCTGACAATTCAATATCGAAAAAACACAAAATTCAACTATTCGAACCCAAGATGGCTTAAGTTTTAATTAACACTCAATTGCGGAACTCCGCGGTTTATCATACAAAGAGCGGCTTGAAAAACTGGACCTCTTTACTCTGTCCTATCGCAGACTAAGGGGAGATCTAACTTTGATGTACAAAATACTGAGAAATGATTTCGGACCTAAGTTATTCTCTCTCTTTCTTCACACTAGATCGCAACACCTTAGAGGACACAGCAGGCGAGTAGAAAAGCCAAGAACGAACAAAATACCAGTGGCATACAGGTTTTCACACCGAGTCATCAATACTTGGAACGTGCTGCCTGAAGCAGTGGTGTCCACACCTTCAATTGACTCTTTCAAGAGAAGACTGGACACTCATAGGAGCATACTAGAAAAGGAATAACATAGGCCGTAAGCCTTCTGTCCTTACTACACAAATCTGAATATTCAATCGTAGTTGAGATCTCAGCTCGAACTTCGACCTCTGACAAGGTCACTGGATCCGTTCCATTGGATCGTCTTATATAGTCTGGTATGATTTCTCTCTCTGTTTTGTTAGCACTTTTGATTGGTGGAAAAGATAACCTGCTTTATTACAATGAACATTTCGAAGGCGAATTGAGTGAAGCACCCCTGGAACGTCTACTTCCTACGTTGGTGACATTTTATAACCAATATTCAAGCGAGCCCTACAGATATGTGGCATTTGACGCTAACCAGACATTACAAACTGTATCCTCAAACTTAAATATCTCATTTTTCTTACAGCATATAAGGGGTTATAGATATCGTTTCTCTGTTTTGTTGGCCCCCACTATTTGCCCCAAATACCAAGCGGAATACATATCTATTGCGCACTTGGGACCTTGCTCGTTGAAAGCATATGGAGTATGTTGAACTTAAATAAGTGCTCTAATACGTTTAGTATCAACAATGCGATTTCGTTTTAAGCTTTCGAAAGGGTCTAGTGTATGATGATAGCACGTTGTACCTTGAAGGTTGTCGATCTGCTGTCCCGAGAATGCCTGTAAACCTCGAGGTAATTATTTGTTAAATTCATGTTTTCTAAGGTTTGGTTTTATATCTTAGTATTCATAGCATGCCAAAAGTACATCTGAAAGTCCCCAGCAATATAATCTTTTGAAACTGCTTTATTCACGATAAGCAAACTTATCATTAGCGTAGTATGTCGTTGTAGGTGGTACGTTTATGTAATTTGCGTTTCTGAGCGACAGTAAGACAAGTAATATCAATAGTTTGCCGCGAAAAAACCGGACTATTTAAATCAAGTTGTAAATTCCACGTGGGGTTTATATGAAAAAAACCAGCATATGTGGGTTATGAATTTTATACTGAATCAAGCTTTTATGCTACACATCAGCGCCTAACTTTTTATAAACCGGAAGGTTTATCAACTTTTGCTAATGTGCGTCGAAAGTAATAATTAGGAAGAGCACTTATTGTGTAACGATAACCGTCACGGTTTTACTCTTGTGATTTGTTGCATGAAATAAACTGGTATTCCGGGGCGAACCTATCAACCCTGGATTTGATCAGCAGTATGTAACGAAATTTCGAGACAGATATAGCCAAGAACAGTCCTAGTGTTTGAGTAAAAAGATTCGTTTCGTGATGAAATTCTCAATTTAACTATTCACAACTTATCTTTAGACATCCAGTAGTCATTGAGTGTAATCTGTCAAACAATATACACACTCTTTTAGCAATGGAATTCGCACATACTATTTTCAGAGTAGCATTGTCTGGGGACCCCAGTATGTTACTACGAATTTTATCTGAGGATCCAGGTTTGGTGAATCTTCCTGACTTTGATGGCAATATGCCACTTCATTTTGCTGCTATGTCTGGTTCATGGGAGTGTGTTAAAATATGCATTTCTGCTCTACAAGCTCGCAAGGATCTTGACTGCGTAACAGAAGTTCGACGTAAAAATTTCATGGGTAAAGATGCTCTTACCATTTCTGTTGAGAAAAGTGATTATGAATCATTTAATCTACTTATAAGTGCAGGAGCAAAAACAGATTATCGGTGTGCGGATGATGTGCCTCCTCTGGTGGCTGCTTTAAGTCAAGATAACGTGAAGTTAACCGCTAACGTCCTGGATGCACTCGACATAAATTTTCTTCGTTTACGCCGGGATCGCTATTGGATTTTAGCATTGCATACTGACCTTTCAATATCTTTAGCTTATTTCAAGCTCCTAAAGGCTCATGCTGTCCCATACATGCTAAGTGAATTTGAGGAAATTTGTGCCATTGTTCTTGAACATCTAACAATATTCCTGGACATGAAATTTTTATGTCTGTTGTGTATCAGCATTTCTTACCATTGACTATATCTCATGCTGATAAAATTTTTAATTGCTCAACGAATATTAAATATTTCTCCGTTTATTTGTCCTACAAACCACCGTTTTTCAAGTAGTTAGATGGTATTGTATCTTCTCATAGAAACTACCTCGTATGATCTAGATAACATATATACCAAGAAAATTCAGATAAATATTGGGACAGGAACATAGTAGTTAAACAACTTTAAATTTAACCACTAGGTTGTTTGTTCACTTACTTTCCTGCCATTGGTTGAGACACCTTGAAAGTCTTACTAGTTCTCATAAAACTTCTGGCTTAACGCCAAGTATATAAACATGTCAAGACCGTATTCAGTGAACTTCGTTTACTTTGCATCATCAACTTTTCATTTCACTGAATAGAATGTATTTGTATCAAATTTTGTCACTTAGTAGTATTGTCGACATCAACACACCAACATGTTTCGACGGCTTCTTATCAATGGTAAAATTACTTTATAATAGACAATATAATTATAAAATATCTAATAGTTGGATTCATGAGTCAATTAAAGCTGGACCACCATGGAGAACCTGGAAGCACTGGATGGTCGTTTGTCCTAGTATGAGTCTCCTCGGCAGTGTGCATAATAGAATTGTTTTTGTTCTGTAGATAATTCATGGTAATTACACCTTACCAAACATATAGAGGTAATCTGTTCCTCGAATTTTTAATAATTTCAGATAATTCAGCCAAATGAATTAAACACTATCAGTCACGCCATTTCAAATATCAGATATATGTACTATAGGTCGACAAGGCTGCTTACTCTCTCTGCCTTTCTATTTCCTCCGGTGGTTGACCGGATTATGAAGACCTCAACATCTGACGGGAAGTAGAGAATAAAATAGACAGCTTGCATGCAACTAGACGATTTGGACTTCACAGGGCCCCCGAACGCCCTGGTACGGCCGAGAGTGGGGAGAGTCCGCTCTCCCTCTCGAAATACTCTCACACGGCCGCGCGTATACAGCCTCTGCCAGGGAAGTCCTACTCATTGCCTTCTCGCGGCGGGGGTGTTGTTTACAAAAATGAGAGGACGAAAAGCGAACGTCCGGCGCTTTAACCGGATCACAAACCAATGGTGCACATGGGCTCCAGTATCCTGCGGGAACAAATGGCGTATGAACCAATCGTTGGTCACCGGCTACCATGGGATTGCATCTCCTTACGATGCTCCACTGCCTTGTGGGTTAGACCATTTGGTCAAAGGCTCGGGGTGTGGCCCCCTAAGACAACCACCTGCTTCGGTTTGGGCACCCGGGCAGTATCACAGCCCACACACAAACGATGAACTCTATGACTATGGCAACGAATTTTCTCGCTCCAATATATAATCAATCGATTCCAATAATTATTACTATTATTGTCATTATTAATACTATTATTATTACCATTATTGTCATTATTATTATTATTATTATTATTATTATTATTATTAGTACCATTATTGTCATTATTATTATTATTATTATTTTCCACATTGTTCTCCCTCTTTTATACTTATACAGCGGCTCGTCTTTGGTGGAAATTCGACTGTATCTAAACGTTCTCGAGTCACTGTCCGGTTGAAAATTGTATGTTACCACCGATTACGAGAACTGAAGCAGTTTTTCTGAAACCACGTGCACCATTCAAACTGGCTGCCTTCAACGTTCGCACACTAGTGCAGGTCGGACAACAGATAGGGCTGGCTATGTCTTTGGAAAGTCTTAATATTGATGTTTGTTGTCTATCCGAGACCCGTATTCAAGACTCTGGCGAAGTACTACAAATTCGATCTCCATCTGTCGCTTCGAAAAGCTTGTTTCACGTGCGCTTATCCGGGGACCCTGTGGCATCTTCGTCTGGTCTTGCTGGCGTCGGTGTCGCACTAAGCGCTAGAGCTGAGGCAGCACTAGTTGATTGGATCCCCATTAACAGTCGGTTATGTGCTGTTAGATTAGAAAGTTCCATCAAAGTGAGAAGAAATCGGCGTGAGAAACGATGTCTTTTCGTCATCTCCGCCTATGCCCCGACAGATTGCAGCCCGGATGCAATCAAGGATGAGTTTTACCACCAGTTATCTGTTCTTCTCCAGAAAGTGCGTTCGACAGATATTGTAGTACTAGCCGGAGACTTGAATGCTCAGGTCGGGCGTCTAGGCACAGAAGAGAGTCGTTTAGGTGGCCGATGGGGACTCGTTGGTCGCAGGTCAGATAACGGGGACCGTCTACTGCAACTGTGCACAGACCACAACCTGTTTCTGGCTAGCACTAACTTTCGGCACAGTCATCGCCGATGTGCCACCTGGCGTCCTCCCTCTGCATCCCAAGCCTGGACTCAGATTGATCACATCGCGATCAGCTTCCGCTGGCGTGATTGTGTAAAAGACTGCCGCTCCTTTTGGAGTACCTATCTGGACTCTGACCATGCCTTGGTCTGCGCCAATCTTGCCTTACTTTTCAGTGGACAACGAAGTGACCGCCACCAACGGATTGATGTTAGCAAGCTGGTTGCAACTTCTGTTGCAAATAAGTATCGAGCCGAGTTAGCCTCTAGGCTAGCTACCACTCCACCGAAAAGTATAGATGAGCATTGGTTGCAATTGCTTGACGCCATGAAAATGGCGGGAACAGTCAGTTGTGGGTTTGCGAAACGTCCCGCTTTTAAGCACTGGGTTTCTTCTGGTTCCTTACAACTCATTGAAGCCCGTCGGTCTACTCCGGGTGACCGTGAGTTTGACCATAAACGAAGGATGTTACGTAGGGAAATCGGGCAAAGCTTGCGTAAGGACCGAGAAGCCTGGTGGTCGGAGCGTGCTAATGAGCTGGAAGCAGCAGCTGCATCTGGTAACTACCGGAAGCTCTTCCAGCTCATCCGAGCCACTGGCAGCAAGAAGTCTGGTGTGAGTGAAACAATCTGCGAGGATGATGGGATGCCAATCACTAACATCCATCGACGTCTTGGACGATGGGCAGAATTTTTCGAAGGGCAGTTCAACTGGCCTGCTGCTCCGGCAACATCGGTCAGGCTGTCCTGCCCTCCATGGCCGGTGACGACTGATCCACCAAACGAGGAGGAAGTCCGCAAGAAACTCCAACTCTTGAAGCGTTACAAATCACCTGGCCCAGATGACTTACCTCCGGCTCTTTTTAAAGATGGTGGTGACTTTTTGACTAAGGAATTGACGACGTTGTTTACAAAGGTTTGGGAACTAGAGTGTGTACCAACGTCATGGAATGAGTCGATAGTTGTCCCTATCTTTAAAAAGGGTTCACGTCGTTCCTGTAACAACTATCGGGGGATAAGTCTACTTCCGATTGCGTCCAAGCTATTGGCTTCCGTCATACTTCGTAGGTTGTTCAAAACTCGGGAAAGATTGACTCGCGAGGAGCAGGCTGGGTTTCGTTCTGGTCGAGGATGTATTGATCATATCTTCACCCTCCGCCAAATGTTAGAACATCGCCATACTTATCAAAGGCCAACAATCGTAGTGTTTCTTGACATCAGGGCTGCCTTCGATTCGTTGGACAGGACTGTTCTCTGGGATTGTCTATTGAAGAAGGGTGTGCCTGAGAAGTTTATTAACATCCTAAAAGCCCTATATAAAAACACCTCAGGCAGAGTGAGGGCATACAACCACCTCTCTCCATTGTTCCATTCGAGTAGTGGGGTTAGGCAGGGTTGCCCAATCTCACCATTCCTCTTCAACTTTGCCATCGATGACATTCTGGAAACAGCTCTGATGAATGTAAGTAATGGTGGTGTGGATCTGTTACCTGGAGAAAGACTTCTCGACCTTGAGTATGCGGACGATATTGTCTTACTGTGCGATAATGCCCAAGGCATGCAATCCGCACTTAATCAGTTGGCAATCAGTGTCCGTAGGTATGGTATGTGTTTTGCACCTTCGAAGTGCAAAGTACTTCTACAAGACTGGCAGGATTCCAATCCTGTACTCACCCTGGATGGTGAGCAGATAGAAGTAGTCGAGAAGTTCGTGTATCTGGGTAGTTGCATAAGTGCTGGTGGGGGTGTGAGTGATGAGATCAATGCACGTATAGTGAAAGCCAGAGTGGCTTATGCCAATCTGGGCCATCTTTGGCGCCTTCGTGATGTTAGTCTGGCTGTAAAAGGTCGGATCTACAACGCGTCGGTGAGAGCAGTTTAGCTCTATGCTTGTGAAACCTGGCCTCTCCGAGTTGAGGACGTTAGACGACTCTCTGTGTTCGATCATCGCTGTCTCCGAAGGATTGCTGATATTCAATGGCAACACCATGTCAGTAATGCAGAGGTTCGGCATCATGTGTTTGGGCACAGAGATGATAATTCAATTGGTGTCACCATCTTGAAACACCGACTTCGGTGGCTTGGACATGTTCTACGAATGTCGTCCCAGAGAATTCCACGTCGTGCATTATTTGCCGACTCTGGGACTGGTTGGAAAAAGCGGAGAGGTGGTCAGTGCATGACATGGTGTCGTGGTATGAAAGAAAGCTGCAAAGGACTGGCTTGTGTTGGTCCTCCACGACTCCCTGGTTGGGGTCTGAGAGATGGTGCTACACAGTGGCTAGAGACGTTATCAGATATGGCTCAGAATAGAAGCCAGTGGCGATCCTGCTGTAACCTTCTTTTACTTTCTTCATAAAAAGTGGTTGTGTCTCCCTTACTTGAAAGATTTCTTCTGATTGTACTTTTCCGTTCCATTGTTACGACCACACTAAATCTCTTCGTTATCGTTCTCTTTTGTGCTCCTTGGTTTTCTTTTCTTTTTCTATCTCTTCGAAGTTACATTGTTTTGTGTGGCGCATATATATTGGCGCTCTCTTGTACCAATATTTATGTGTTAAAATAAAATAATAATAAATAAATCACAGGTGACCTGGCCCTTCTATCCCATACACACAAACAAATGCAAATTAAGACAACTGGTGTAGCATCAACCTCCACATCAGTAGGCCTAAACATACACAATGGAAAAAGCAAGGTTCTCAAATACAACACGGAGAACACAAACCCAATCACACTTGATGGAGAAGCTCTAGATGTGGAATCTTTCACGTACCTGAACAGCAACATCGATGAACGTGTACTGTCCAATGCAGACGTAAAGGCAAGGATTGGTAAAGTAAGGACAGCATTCCTACAGTTGAAGAATATATAAAACTCAAAACAACTTTCAACCAATACCAAAGTTAGAATCTTCAATAAGAACGTCAAGACAGTTCTGCTGTACGGAGCTGAAACTTTGAAAAATACCCAACCATCACTACAATAATGCAAATATTCATAAACGGTTGTCTACTCAAGATCTTGAATATCTGCTGACTGAATATCACCAGCAACAGCCTACTATGAGAGAGAACAAACCAGCTTCCATCTGAAGAGGAAATTAGGAAAAGACGCTGAAAGTGGATATGACCTACATTACGGAAATCAGCAAGCTGCATCACGAGACAAGCGCTAACTTGGTATTCTGAAGGTAAACGTAAAAGGGGAAGGCCAACGAACACATTGCGTTGGAAATCGGAAGCAAACATCTGAAGGACGAATAGCGATTGCAAACAACTAAAAAGGATTGACTAGGACAGATTTGGATGGAAAATGTTTGTGGACGACCTATGCTCCTCCACGAGGGGTAACGGGTAGTTAAGTATTTAAGTAGGTACGTTCGACTACGTCTATTTTGTCCAGTGTTAGACAGTCTATGTTTAAGGACCGATTCCAGGGACGGATCCACGGGAGTTAAATAAACCGTCTTTCTTCTGAGCCATGAGAGTGCCTTAATTAGATCCATTCAATGTGAGAGGTATAACTAAACATCAATCACGTAGTCATTGGTTATTAGTATCAGGTGTTTAGCAAGCGGTTAATTTTCTCTAGCCAAACTGATAAGAAGTGGAGAAGGAATGTCGATTACATCACAATGTTCCTTGTTTTTCTGTTGGTTGGTACTTCGACGGATAAAAACCTTATTTCTTTTTTACTTTTATGCTTTATTTTTCAGTACTTAGGCTTTAAGCTGCCTGCAAACGTGGAGGAGAAATATGCACAATTTAAGTTAACATATAGAAAACAGTATCATGAGACAGGTAATTTCATATAAAATTTGGAAGTTAATACCTTTCTGCTTAGAAGATGAGATTAGGTTTAATATCTTCAAATCGAATATCTTGAAAGCTCAATTGTATCAGGTGTTCGAAAGAGGTTCAGCCATTTATGGAGTGACACCTTATTCAGACTTAACAAGTTAGTATACATTTCCTAGTAATCGTAATTATCATTAGCTGATGAATTCGCACGCACCCATCTAACTGCTTCCTGGGTAGTGTCGTCTAGTACAAGTAATACACCAATTTCTCTGGAAAAGGAGGTTAAGAATATACCAAAAAACTTCGATTGGAGAGAAAAAGGCGCTGTAACTGAAGTAAAAAATCAAGGAATGTGTGGCTCTTGTTGGGCGTTCTCAACCACTGGTAATGTTGAGAGTCAGTGGTTCCGCAAAACTGGAAAGTTATTATCATTAAGTGAGCAGGTCAGTCTATTTCCTATTCATCAATGTGTAGATTCAGGAATTTAAATTAGGTAATGTCTCATATTCTATTCTAATTTCTCCCTACCTACTTTGGCTTGGGCAACCGACTAGGATCATTATTCATCACGCAAACAGTACAAACCAGGTGCAAACATAGAGTTGTATTCAGTAATTAAGTTGTGTCGAATTTCTCGAAATGGAGAGAGATATCATTCAGCAAAAAACACTTTGTTACTGTTTGCTGTATCAAATAAACGTATTTACAGAAGGTTTTACTAAAATTCTCACGGAAGACGTAAGCAGTAGTTTTAAACGTATCGTAATATTGAGCTTACAAATTCATGTAAGTGAAACGTGTACCAGTGTTTTGCATTCAGCAAAAGAAAGGTAGAAATATATATATGTTGTTTTGTGCATAACTGTCTTCGTATAGACTTTCTTTAAGGTGGGTTGATTTGTAGCTCAAGTAACCTCATTGTTACAATACTGTGTACGTATTTCATTAAGGTTTAACCAGTTATAAAGTGTGTTTAAAAAGCACAGCAACGCTACACTCTATTCTGTATATAGTTCAAGTGTTTAGGTTATGAATTTTCCAACCACTACCTCATTGAGTGAGATTGTCCGATAAACCTATCTTGTAAGTTACTACCACTTCTAGTATTCTTGATGTTTAACCTTTTGAATAAACCTACAATTTGTTTATTTATTTATTTCAACACATAGATAATGGTACAAAGAGGCACCAAATACATATGCGCCACACAAATCTCATCCGATATGTGTGAGGGCTGTGATACTGCCCGGGTGCCCAAACCGAAGCAGGTGGTTATCTTAGGGGGCCACACCCCGAGCCTTCAACCCAAAGGTCTGATCCACAAGGCAGTGGAGCATCGTAAGGAGATGCAGTCCCATGGAAGCCGGTGACCAACAATTGGTTCATTCGCCATTTGTTCCCGCAGGATACTGGAGCCCATGTGCACCATTGTTTTGGAATCCGGTTAAAGCGCCGAACATTCGCTTTTCGTCCTCTCATTTTCGTAAACAACACCCCCGCCACGAGAAGGCAGTGAGTAGGACTTCCCTGGCAGAGGCTATATACGCGTGGCCGTGTGAGAGTATTTCGAGAGGGAGAGCGGACTCTCCCCACTCTCGGCCGTACCAGGGCATTTGGGGGCTTAATCTTGGTATGTTTAGTTTAAGGCTATGAGAACAACATGATCCTAAAAGTAAGATCTAGATATTGAAGTTCGAAATTCATCTCTGAACATTGTGTATATTTTTTGACAGTTTGAACATAAGGCTCCTGTAAGCAGTAAATTGGAAAATAGTGTGTATACGGATAAAAATATCCTACTTACATCGTGCTTTTTGCGACTTAGCAGTATCACTAATGCTCATATAATAATTGTAGTTGATAATCTAGTACGCATCCTTGCATATGGATAATCAGTGACCTACGAAATCCTCGTGTTGACGGATAAATTAATTGGTACTGAAAATGTTCAGCAAACCGTCGTCAATAAGAATAATGATATTGGATCAAATACAATTCAATTAAAGAGTGTATTCATATTTTCTGACTATAACTGTACTTGTTACAACTAACTTCTAGTTAATTGTAATATTTTATTCTCAATAATTCATGCTAATTACAGCAACTTGTTGACTGTGACGGTTTAGATGATGGTTGTAATGGTGGTCTTCCATCGAATGCCTATGAATCAATCATAAAGATGGGTGGTTTAGTGCTTGAAGATAATTATCCTTATGATGCTAAAAATGAGAAATGTCATTTGAAAGCTAATAATGTTGCAGCTTACATTAATAGTTCAGTAAATTTAACTCAAGATGAAACAGAACTTGCTGCATGGCTTTATCATAATTCAGCGATTAGTGTTGGTATGAATGCGATGCTTTTACAGGTATAGTCCTCAAATTTTATTTTGATTTTCTTTATATATACACCATATTTTCTACTATATTGTTCTTTCAAACATATAATTCATCAACAGATTTGGAAATAGAATTTATTAGTGTACAAAAAATGTTAAATTTTTTTAGCCGTTAGTTGTACTTGGTTAAGTAATGAAATTGTTATGAGTTGTTGATCATAACTCTGTTTGATATTATGTATAACTCATCGAGTTGTGCTAGTAATTTTGAATAACCTCAATAATTCAGTTCCTTGAAAGTAAGCTCAGACACTGGTTTTATTAATCCACGCAACCCTACTTTACAGCTTTATGAATATATATAGTCAAATGCTAGCCACCGCTTATTCACAACCGTTTTATGTTGTGTGTATACTGACGCTCATCAATACAATATCGACAATATTTTCAAGAGTTGAATAAGGGTTCCAAAATTGCTGTAAGAATAAATCATCAGTACGAAGTTACGGTGTTTATGAACAGTTGTCTACGCAAAGTACATCGGATCCGTTGGCCGGACACTATTAGCAACAACCAACTGTGGGAAAGAACAAACCAGATCCCAGCGGAGGAAGAAATTAGGGAGAAGCGCTGGAAGTGGATAGGACATACATTGAGAAAAGCACCCAACTGCGTCACAAGACAAGCCCTCACATGGAATCCTCAAGGTTAAAGGAAAAGAGGAAGACCAAAGAACACATTACGCTGGGAAATGGAGATAGACATGAGAAAAATGAACAAGAATTGGATGGAATTAGAAAAGAAGGTCCAGAACAGAGTGGGTTGGAGAATGCTGGTCGGCGGCCTATGCTCCATTAGAAGTAACAGGCGTAAGTAAGTAACGACGTTACGGTGTTATGAAACTTCGGGTTTCACCAAATCTTGACTAATTCTAAACAATGTAGACTAGTATGATGTGTTCTTACTTTTACTTAGAATATTTTCGTTAAGAACCAGCATCCCATACAATAGGAAATATTTATACTATAAATCGTATCCGAATGAGAAATAAATTTCACATCCACAACCACGTTTGACTTGATCGTGTATAATCCTTATTTTTCATTTTATTGTGTGGTGCGATCTGCTGTGTTTGTATATAGACGACGTATGTCTGAAATATACGGTTCATATAGCGGAGGCTGATATTTGGGTCCTGGACTGGACGGGGAGGGATAGGCGAGAAGCTACTATACGGAGGACCGATAAGTACTCAGGGTTGACTCAAGGCTGCTAATGCTGGTTGATTTTGTTATGACGAGATGAAAAGTCAAATTAGATTGATTACTCATTATGATTTTTATTCAATATTAATTCTGATTAATTCAATTTGATGATCACTCGGTATAGTATTTGTTTCGCTCTCCACTATGACGTTTTATTCTGTATAATAAATGATATTCTTGTAGGAAGTATTTTTCATATATGTGATTTATTCTGATTATTAGTCAAAAATGGGTGTACAAACCAATATATAAATGAGTGTATTTCGAACTAGACTGGTCGTGGTTGCTCGTGCTTCTGGCGGCTTGCGGAATGTATTTCCCCGTTTCAAATATAAACTTCTCTCTCCAGTTAGCGGAGCTGGGACGCATCAGAATAGCTAGCTTATTGGTCTTCGGTCACAGAGTCCTTGTTCTGTCCGCAGACTAGGTGAATTCGTGATCGCTTCAAACATAACATTGTCATTGACTTAGCACAGGGACAAGGACAGTATTCTGATCAGCGATTTCGTCACGTGGTATTTGACGGGCCATAGAACATAAGAGAAATCAGTTGTACGAGCAGACATTTTCCCGATACATATTTTGATTCACACTGCTAAATGGTTTGTATAACATGAATAATATAATTACATTCCACAGTGGATTCAAGTTAACTCAATCAACAGGTAACTGGGCTTACTCAGACTTGTAAGAAGTAGAATTTAAGTACAAAACAACTGATATATTATGGTTTTCAACTTCTAGTAAGTTTCAACAACTGTACACTACAATTATTGTAAATGGATTTTAGGCTTTTTATTCCTATGACGTTTATTTTGTCTACCACAACTCAATTTAGTTTTATCGACATGGAATTAGTCATCCATGGTGGATCTTCTGTTCAAAGTATCTGCTTGATCATGCGGTTTTACTTGTTGGCTATGGAGTTTCCGAAGAAAATGAGCCATTCTGGATTGTAAAAAACAGTTGGGGTGTTGAATGGGGTGAAAAAGTAAGTTTTTTTCTCTTGCATAACTGAGAGAAAGCATCTTACTGAAATTATTTACTACTTAAATTACATTAAATCAACTAGTTTTGCACTGTTGGTTGATATGTAAAGTCCATATATCTTATTCTAGCTACTGGACAGGCCAATTTATCCGTTTTTTGTTGAGTCACGTTTTAACGTTGTTAATTATTCGCTTATCAACCTTGACTGTTTTTATATTAGCGTGTGTGTGTGTGTGTGTACACTTATCCTATTCATCACATGTCTATAGTTTATTTTCGTGTGATTATAAATATTGATGTCTTCTTTAGCTGGAGAAGAGGCTACATCGAATCACGGTACACCTACTGGACCTCAATAGTTGTCTTTGCAGGTTTCTTGTTTTTGATTTTACTTCATGTTCAGTGATTGCTGACCACCTATGTACTACATAGAAGTGATTGATTATGCCTTTCTTAGTTGCTAGGCTTTTATTGAAGCCAGGATGCGGGCATTTATTTACATTATTTATGGACTTATTTTTATTTATTGGGGTTTCAGTTTTAGGTAAATTGTGTTGTGGGTGACAAGATATGGGACTCAGTTCCATGAACTAGCGTGAGCGGTAAACCGGATGGTAGAGAACTTCCTAATCACCCACAACTGATTACGAAAACTACAAAGAATCATAGCACAATTGCTACTTGTTCAAAAAAAAGACGAGAAAATGCACAAAACCACCAAATACTCAAACTTAGTTTATGGAATGTCCAGGGTTGCCTACAAGAGTGCAAACTCCAACAGATTGTAGAACAAATCATCGAATGCAAGTACCACATAGCAGTGATCACGGAAACTAGGATGGTCTCCAAAACCATCGAATAAGACAAAAACACTACCTTCTTTAACTCCAATCTTGACATCCGACGAAAAACCGGTGCTTTCAACGTGGTACGGTCGCTAATACTGACATCAACGGTTACCGTAACACGTGTTGGCTTCGTCATTAATAACCAATCCTTACTAAACCAGCACACAAGACTTCCACCTGGGTACATCTTAAAACTCAGACTGAATATATGATAGATTTGGTATTGACAGAAAATAACTAAGGTAATGGTCTCTGACATAAACAACAGTCGTTCGATGGAGGCTAACCCCGATTATTACATGATCACAACCATACTTAAGCTAAATTACTTAAATAATAACCGAACTCCTAACACTAATAAGAAATTCAAACGAAGACAACGTAAGGCGATACACGCCTTGATCACAGACCACCCAAATATGTTAAATAATTTACTTCAAAATGGATATACTCTAAGTCAGGTAGAAAGAGTAATCATACAAACTGCTAAGAAAGCTACAATCCTATATAAGTCGGCCACCAAGAGATGGCAACACAATATAAGCGATCTCTTGAAACAAGAGATTAAACATAAAAAACAACTAAAACTGTCCTGGCTAAATAACCCCACAACCATTAATAAAAACCTATATATACTTTAGTGGCCCGTAATTTGACTCCAGTGAGATCGTTTCCGATTGCTATTGAGATATATATATCGTCAATCCTCGTATATAATTATCGACTTAGATCACGTTAGTTCATGGGACGGAATTAAATAAGTCAAATGCGAGAATGGATTTTGCATATGTATATTTCACGCACTCATTCATTTGAACAGGCAGTCAGGGAATGAAGAGAAGAGAGCGAAGCAAAATGACGTGCAGTGAAGAAAGCATG